TTTCACGAAGGGCGACTACCTAGGTGCGCTAATTACTGAATTTGGCTTATCTGGCGAGATGACTTGACCATTGGTGGAGGCCTTCGAGAAAGACCCTGTCATGATGGACATCATCCATAAGATGGAGGCCAAGGATAAGGCCACATCAGACGAGTCTGTGATGGTGGATGGGTTGCTTTTTCTTGAGAAGGCAGGATGCAAAAGATTGTGTGTGTCGTCTAGTGAATCTTTGCGTAGTTTATTTATAGGAGAATGTCATGATGTGACAGGGCATTCGGATACAAAAAGACTAAATTTAACTTAGTACTGTGACGAACCACTTTCTGCGGTGCGTGACTTTCTGCGCAACTGCAATGAGGGGTCCTAAGCTGGGAAGGAAGGGCTACCTACGGGAGATTGGGATGGATGGGAAATTGCATCGGTGTCCTCGCTTCTTCGTCTTTTTCGTCGCCTCCTTTTTCGCCTCCTTTTTCGATGGTTGGGTTCAAAACTGGGCGTGTCCCGGGATGATTGGTTGATTGGTCGGTTGAATGGCTGGCGCGCTGTCATGCGCGCGATTAATAAATGTTGACGTCGCTTCTTTTTGTTTCGGGCTCGGACCTTTTAGGCGTGGACGTCGCGCTGGAATTTTGCTTCGTTCTTTTTTAATTCTTTTTCGAATCTTGTCGAGCCCCGAGGGCTCTCGGAATTTCGGATTTCCCTTTCGGAATTTGTGCTTTTCGCCTTAGATAGGAATTTATGAATTTTGTAATTAGGATTTTTTGTAGCCTCGCGGTGCTTTTTGTTTACGCGCTTCGTCGCGCGGCTGCAACGGAACTCTGATTAGTCGGCGCCTTTAATCGTGTGTGTAACTGTAATTTTGGGCGGGCGCCATTGTAACTGTATCTTTCTTCTTGTGCTTCGTCTTTCCCGCCCTTCTTCTCTATCTTTTCGTTGTGTTTTGGTAGTCGGGGTCTGCATGATCGGATCGATGCGTGGAGAGCGGCTACGTCCCCCACGTCGCGGCCCGGTCATGCAGAATGCAGGCGCTCCCTCTCTAATCTTCTTTCTAAGCCCTTGTAATTCCGTGTTCTTCGCGCATGCATGCACGCTATAAATTCCGGCTGCGCGATTAGTTAGCTCTCTTAACCAGCTGTTGGAAGCTCGGAGTAGCGCGATCAGTGAGGGTCGGCTCACGAGCGAAGTAAGAGGTGAGTTGAAGTGGGAGTTGGGCGACCCGACGAGCTGGTGCCAAACGCGTGGGGTTGACGCGGGCCACGACGGACTATGGGCGCGGGCGAACCTGACGGGTGAGGGAGGACTAAGCGGGGTGACGACTTCGTGGGTTGGTGCGCGACGACGGACTGTCCGCATCGGAGAGAGAGGGAGAGAGAGGAAGAGGGAGCTGAGGTTGATGGACGCGGATTTGCTGTTTCTTTTGTCTTTTCTCTCCCTCTGCTGGTGTATATAAATTTTGGTTTCGGATCAGGGCGATTTGCCCGTTTTTGTTTTCGGAAACTTGGTTTGGTTTTCTTTCGCCCACACTCGTCTTTGTGATTTCCATCTCGGATATTGAGTGCATTATGTTGAATTAATGGATGTTATGTCTGGTTGCTTGTCCATATGTATGATCGTTGCCTTTGCTAATCGTCCTGATGCATTCATGAGTAGGGTAGGAATTTTTGCGTAGTCATCAATACTGCTTCCGTTCTTGTTTACCCATTGATTGAGCTGTTGCGATTGTTGCATCTTGTGGGCTCAGAAATTACGAAGTGATTAGATGATCGGATAGTTGTTTTGCCCAGAAACCAGCAAACGTCACAGGGGCGCGCGTAGGTGTGATCTGATTTGCGCACTTACACGTGTCCCCGCGCGTCGATTCACAACCCACCACATATAAAAAGGTTAACGATTGCGGGGATATTGCCTGACTGGATGGGGCCATCTTGCGTCCGCAATGACACAATCATCCCGTGTGAACACGTGTAAGCGCGACCCGATTCACGCGGCCTACACATACTCACATGCGGTGATCGCAATCGACGAAGATACACCCTTATGAATTTCGCGGCCCTACGATGATATAATGACACACTCCGGGAACTCAGATTCGTCGTACGACCACCCCTTGGATTGAGGAGTGCCTCCGATAGAGGTTCCCTTGCCTAACCGAGAACCGACTATGCCCTAGGGAGTTCCACTGTGCCACAACCAGCGATCCACGGTGTTCTGATTTCCCCACTTCGGACCACACCCATTACTTTATTTCCCCTGGCTTTGTCGTTATCTCCACTAATTTCCCTCCCTTCCGTCTTCTTCTCCCGTATTATCAACTCAGGGTTATCCCGTGGAAAGCCATAGCCCCCTACTGGCCCCGCACGCCCTGCGGAAACTGCCGACAGCGCGGCAACAAGAGAGCCTCGGGACCGCGAGGGCCTAACCAGAACGTGCGACGACCGGCGCCACGCGGCGAGAACCGACGACCTGACTCATCGGGATCACACCCACCCCGAAGGGAGCTTTCGATGAACCGCCGTCCTCAACACAGATGGATCGAACGATCATAAATGACCCGCGCAGGCCATCTGCCTTATGACCAGAAGTGGCCCGCCCTCTTTGCCAAATTGCACCCGTGCCCCCGAAAAACCTTGCCACAGGAGATCTCTGCTCTGACCTGGGACTCCACCCCCACTTTCCCCAAAAATCCTTGGCACACCCCTTTTCGCACTTCCAGGCCCACACCCCACTCCGATCAGGAAGTCGCGCTGGGCGTGAGGTTGGGCGTCACAGTACAATGTTTTTGGTGGTTGGTCGGCTATGCTTTATGATGCAAAAAGTTTTGTCCAGACTTGTCAAGTCTCCCAACGAGAGACAAGTCGCGGACTCAAGCACCACTTGGGTTACTCAAGGCCTTGCCCATTCCTACAGGTCCGGGACAGAGTGTTTCCATGGACTTGATGGACACCCTCGTTACCAGCAAGAGCGGCAAGAGGCACATTTTTGTCATAGTTGACCGGTTCACTAAGTATGCTAGACTAATTGCCATGCCCGAGACTGCAAAGACTGAGCACGTCATGAAGTTATTCATGGATAACTGGGTGCGTGATTTTGGACCGCCCAAGACAAAAAAAAGCGATAGAGATGTCTGGTTCACGAGCGAGATGTGGAAAAAGGCTGCTGAACAGATGGGCAGCCAACTCCAAATGATGTTGGGGAATCCCCACGAAGCCAACAGTCAAGCGGAACAGATGAACCGTGTGGTGCAACACCTGCTGAGGCACTACATCAAGCCCAGCCAGGATGATTGGGATGAGAAGTTGCCTCTCATCGCCATCCTGTACAACAACGTTGTTCACATCGCCACCGACGTCAATCCGAATGAGCTGCATTTCGGGTGGAAACCTAGATCTGCACTAGACTTCTCCTTCCTGAAAAACGACCAGCTGCAACTCGTGGAACCATAGAATTTGGTGTCCAATATGAGAAGCTGCTGCTGCAGGTTGTCGAGCATATTAGAGAATCTCAATAGGCCATGATTGCCTTTGAGAACAGACATGACGACAGCCCACATTTCAGATAGGGGAACGTGTCTGGGTAAAGGCTAGTGAGTTAGGACAAAAAATTGGCATCTCAAGAAAGTTAGTGCTTCAGTACTTCGGTCCTTGGGAAGTCCTGGACATTGTGGGTAGTGATCCGGATGGTCGCTGCTATGTGATTAGAATCCCTGGTCATCTGCGTACCTACCCTGTGTTTCACGCTTCGAAGCTTGCACTGTTCGTTGAGACTTACAAGTTCCCATCAAGGAGATCAATGCTGCCCCCAACCATGGATGGCCACGTGGACATTGAGGACATTGTGGATCATCGAGATCTGCCTGTTCCAAAGCCAGCTGGCAGAGGAAGACCGCCAAAACCAACCGGAGAATATCGGGTCAGATTCAGGCATCACACGGATCAAAATGAAGCTTGTTGGTTCACGAAGGAGGAACTGATTAAGATAGCGCCTCAGGTCGTCGAAGAGTAGGAACGAAGATTAAAGGGGAAAACACCTGAGTAGAAGCATCTCAACGGACTTTCAAAGCTAAGGGGGATGGAATGTGAGGACTTTGCCCTCACAATGGCTGCTCGGCCACGACCTTTCAATGCCCAAGCCCCCCCCCTCTCCCAAGGAAGGAGCGTGCCCGCCCTAAGTGAAGGCGGGCCTGTATTCGACATGGGGACCCGGTTACACCATTTCTGCATGGTGGGCGCCAGACATTTGCCATGTGCTACTTGGTTACAGAAGCCCTGCTCGTGAGAAGAAACAAAATCTTCGAGGAAGCTTCCAACTTCCTGGAGGCTTGTACGTGGAAGCAGGGCTTTTGGCCTATCAGAAAACAACGAACACGTCACAGGCTGCGTGGGGTGGTTGGGTGCATCTCGAAGGTGCGATCCCAGGCAACTGTCTGCGTGGGCCTGGGCGCAGACACTTTGGCCCAACGTGAAGCTACTGGGCCCCAGAGGTGGCAAACGGGTACCCGGCCGTACCCAACTGTAACCGCCAGGTTACGAGCGGGTATGGGTACCCCTTCCGAAGGGGTAGTTGTGCACGGGCAGGCACAAAGCAAAGGTGGTGTTTGTTAGGGCGGGCACAATTGCTCTTTTTGGATATCATGGGTGGGTAGGGGCAGGTAGGCGTAGGGGCGGAAAAAAAAACCCGGGTATGGGCTGCCAGAAATTTTTTTTTATACGGGTATGGGCAGGTACCGTTGGCGGAAATCAGAAAAAGGTGGGTACGGGCGGGTACAAGCTCCCACCGGGTAACCGTGGTACCACCCGTTCCTTTCGCCCCCCCCCCCCCCTCCCCCCCATTTCCCCCAGGTTCTCCCCCATTTCCCGCCAGCAGAACCTGGGGTCCTGTTTGAATGAAGGCGCGTCCTTTTTTTTTTCGGTTTAGCGCCGCCTCTGCTCCCGACTTCGAATCGGGCCTTTCGAGTGAGGCCTTTGAAGTCTGCCTCGATGTACTTTCCCAACTTCCAGCGGAATATTCAATGGCAATTTTGAAAACGTTGCCCAATGCCTCACGCCCGTTTGCATTGGCTCCCCTCACTGTTCCACAATCCCTGCCCGTTGTTGACGTCGCCCCACTCCCGAGTGACGAGTCCCTAGACTCCCCACCCGTTGTCGTCCGTGCTGCCCGTTGTTCTCCATCGTCGGAGCTCCAATGTCGTCGCCCTGTTGTCTGCCATCGTTGGAGCTCCCATGTCGTGTGCCCTTGCAGCACTGATCAGCGGGCAGTGAGGAGTCTGAGGACTCAAGAGGGAGTTGGAGACAAGACATCACGAGGCCGACACATAAGGTGGGCGACTCTCTCTCTCTCTCTCTCTCTCTCTCTGCGGTGTCAGCACGTGCCTGTTTTTTTTTTGTATCTTATTCGACGCGCGGCTGCCACGTCAGCATGCGCTTTTTTTTTTTTTTTTTTTTTTTTTTTTTTTTTTTTTTTTTTTTTTTTTTTTTTTTTTTTTTTTTTTTTTTTTCTTCTTCTCCTCCTACGCCTCTTCTCGTCCTCCTCCTCCTCCTCGTCCTCTTATCCTTCTCCTCATCCTTCTCCTCGCCATCTTTCCTTCTTCTTCTCCTCCTCCTCCTCCTCCTCGCCATCTTTCCTTCTTCTTCTTCTTCTCCTCCTCCTCCTCCTCGCCATCTTTCCTTCTTCTTCTTCTTCTTCTTCTCCTCCTCCTCTTCTCCTCCTCCTCCTCCTCGCCATCTTCCCTTCTTCTTCTTCTTCTTCTCCTCCTCCTCTTCTCCTCCTCCTCCAATTCTTCTCCTCCTCTTCTTCTTCCTCTTCTTCTCCTCCTCTTCTCCTCCTCCTCCTCCTCCTCTTCTCCTCCTCCTCTTCTTCGTCCTCTTCTTCTCCTCCTCTTCTCCTCCTCCACTTCTTCTTCGTCTCCTCCTTTCCAACTCCTCCTCGTCGTGCAGTATTCCACGCGCGGCTGCCACGTCAGCACGCACTTTTTTTTTTCTTTTTTTTTTTGTCTTTTCTTCTATTCTTCTTCTTCTTCTTCTTCTTCTTGTTCTCCTACGCCTCCTCACCCTCGTCATCTTCTCCTTCTCCTCCTCCTTCTCCTCGCCATCTTTCCTTCTCCTTCTTCTCCTCCTCCCCTTCTCCTCCTCCCCTTCTCCTCCTCCTCGCCATCTTTCCTTCTTCTTCTTCTTCTTCTCTTCCTCCTCTTCTCCTCCTCCTCCTCCTCGCCATCTTTCCTTCTTCTTCTTCTTCTCCTCCTCCTCTTCTCCTCCTCCTCCTCCTCGCCATCTTTCCTTCTTCTTCTTCTTCTCCTCCTCCTCCTCCAATTCTTCTCCTCCTCCTCTTTTTCCTCCTCTTCTTCTCCTCCTCTTCTCCTCCTCCTCCAACTCTTCTCCTCCTCCTCTTCTTCTTCCTCTTCTTCTCCTCCTCTTCTCCTCCTCCTCCTCTTCTCCTCCTCTTCTTCTTCCTCTTCTTCTCCTCCTCTTCTCCTCCTCCACTTCTTCTTCTTCTCCTCCTTTCCAACTCCTCCTCGTCGTGCAGTATTCGACGCGCGGCTGCCACGTCAGCACGCGCTTTTTTTTTTTTTTTTTTCTTCTTTTCGTCTTCTTCTTCTTCTTCTTCTTCTTCTTCTCCTACGCCTCCTCACCCTCGTCATCTTCTCCTTCTCCTCCTTCTCCTCTCCATCTTTTCCTTCTTCTTCTTCTCCTCCTCCCCTTCTCCTCCTCCTCCTCGCCATCTTTCCTTCTTCTTCTTCTTCTTCTCTTCCTCCTCTTCTCCTCCTCCTCCTCCTCGCCATCTTTCCTTCTTCTTCTTCCTCTCCTCCTCCTCTCCTCCTTCTCCTCCTCCTCGCCGTCTTTCCTTCTTCTTCTTCTTCTCCTCCTCTTCTTCTCCTCCTCCTCTTCTCCTCCTCCTCTTCTTCTTCCTCTTCTTCTCCTCTTCTCCTCCTCCACTTCTTCTTCTTCTCCTCCTTTCCAACTCCTCGTATAATTAAAAAAAAAAAAAAAAAAAATAATAATAATAATAATAATAATACTCCTTTGACCAGGTAAGTTAGGACAAAGGTGAAGCGATTTGGACAAATGAAAAATCAATTGGACAATCATCAAACCGAATTGGTCAGTTCGATTTTCCTATTTAGTTCATGATCGGAACCGATTTGGGTAGTCGATACAGGTTGGGATAAGTGATGAGCATTTTGGACACATCAGATTTAGGTTGGGATAAACGATGAGCATTTTGGACATACTGGATATAGGTTGGGATAAATGATGACCATTTTGGACAGAATGATTTAACAGTTTGGACGCATGACAGAGTTAGGCAGATTGATTTAACAAATTAGTATTACCGAAACCCCATTTCGTACAGCAGTCAACCGATTTGAGATTCTGTGGACACCATCGGGACGAACAAAGATATCAATTTAGTGAAGCGATTTTGCATGTTAGTCACATGCGTCTGAATCACGGGCCTGCTGCTCCCGAATCACGGCCTGCTGCACCCGTAAACTGTAGACCTAAAACTTCGCCCCGATTAGCTTTGCCGAAGTTTCGTGTCACCTCTCTAATCCATCCTTGGCACATTCGGCAGTGATCCGCAAAAGACCCCGGTTGATTGCATCAATCAGATTCCCCTGCCCCCCAAGTTCCTCACGACAAACGCGTCTCTTGACATTGCCGAAGACCCATTCTGCTGCATTCAAGAAAGGGGAGTACGGAGGAAGGTAAAGACAAGTGTGCCCAACTTCCTCTATCGCCCTCTACACATCCCCACTACGATGAAATGGAACATTGTCAGTGATGATCGCCTTGGATTGGTCCAAGGCAGGTAGGAGTTTCTTCTCTATGAAATCTAGGTACGTGTCAGCATTGAACGCGCCTACCCTCTAGCGGGCATACTGTATTGGGCACGTGAACGCACAAGGCACGCGAACGCACAATCGTGACCGCACAAGGCCAGTGGTTCGATGCTCGACGGAAGTGGATGCAYGGTGATGGATGCAGGTAGCACACGTGAGCGATACACGAGTTTCTGTGGGGCCCACCAATTTATGCGCTCGTCAGTCTAAATCGTTCAGTCCTTTGACGAAGGGCACAGTGGGTCTGTCCAAGTTTCTAGAATACCTGTCCATATCGGTTTACACGATGTCCAATTTAGAACTACCGGTCCAAGAAGCTTCTACAAGAATCTAAAACGCTTCGACTACATGGCAGATTCCAATTCTACTGGTTCAAGAAGCTTCCACAAAATTCCAAATCGGTTCGCCGTTTCTCCAACTTCGACGGGTTCACCTAATTTGATAAAAAAAAATATCCAATTTCAATCTGCCGGTCCAAGAAGCTTCTTGAAATTCCAAATCGGTTCGTCGTTGCTCTAACTTCTACGCGTTCACCTAATTCGATAAAAAAAAACTCCAATACGGTATTGTTTTGGGCGGGGACCTGGTAGGGCCTGCCCATTTCGGTTCACGATATGTCCAAATAGCGGCAGTATGTATCTAACTTACCTGGTCAAAGGAGTATTATTATTATTATTTTTACAAGGCGTGTCCTGAGGGACGTCGATGTGTTTTTTTGAAGAACGTGGTAAGGTCGAAAGAACCGTCGTCGAAAAAATTAATTCGAATGAATTTTGCTTCTTTTTTTTCGTTTTTTGATGGATTAGGAGCAGTTGAACCCTCGCAACCCTTTCTTTTATCCCCCCCTTGAGTCATACAATTGAATGAAAATGAGTTTTGGGGGAAAAAAAAATTAAAAAAAATAGACCCTACGTGGTGCCAGGCTTTCGAAATTTTCTTTTTTCGTGAATATAGTTGAACGAGTCTGTTTTCTTTTTTATATACTTTTTGGTAATACGAAGAAGCTCCCGCCTATTCTTGGGGACACTCACGAGTCGTTGACGTGAGGGCAGTTGAATTTAGGGCGTATGCACAGCTGCCCTCACGTCCACGACTCGTGGATTCTGTTGGATGTATCGAAGACATAGCAGCGTCCAGATTCAGTTGTAGTGTGGGTATGAGGTTAGGTTGCTCATCAGGAGCAGCATGAAATAGCTGCAGATCGGATGGGCGAGGCTGAAATAATCTGAGAGTTGTATATATTTTTGTTTGAATAAGAATATATTTGAAATATCCAGAGAAATTGGAGGTATATCTTTAGGAGAGACGATGACGGGATATGAAGGTGGGAGACGACGGCTGGAGATGATGGCGGGAGATGGTGGCGGGAGATGATGACTGAGACGTGATGGCGGGGAATGATTGCGGGAGATATGGGGTGGCGGAAGATGATTGTTCAGAGGTGGGCTGGGGGTGATGAGGGGAGATGACAGCCGTGGATGGTGGCGGGAGATGACGGTTGGATATGATGGCGGGAGATGATTGTGGGAGACGATGGGGAGCAGATGGTGGCGGGAAATGATGGGGGGGAGATGACGGCGGGATATGGTGGCTTCTTCATCCCTTTGCCTTCTCGTCTCCTCTTTCGCCTCCTTCCACACTCTTTTCTATGGGTGCCACTATAGGTTTGGTTCTCGCCGACTGCGTCTTCATCCTCTTTTCTGCTGGTGGTCATCCTAGTGGAGCTCCTCCTCTCCTCTTTCTCCTCTTTTCACACACTTTTCTCTGCCCTGTGGCTCTTTCTCTCCTCTTCCCTCCTCCTGCTCCTACAACCCAGGGAGTCAGATCTTGGTAGCTACACCCACATGAAGCAAGAGGGGCGGTGAGAGGCAACTTAAGAAAAAGGAAATTGTGGTTGGTTAAGAGGGGGGAGTATGAAACACAGGGATGGTCTATAACCATGAGCAGGTTGCAGAGAATTCTATCGATCCTTGGACGCCCGAATGCACATATTTGGCAAACCCAAAAAAAACAAAAAAAAATTGTGGCGACAACTTGTCTACATCTTCCCCTGAACACAGTGCACCCTGATTTTGAGTGCATACAAGATAGCTTTTCCGGTCCAAAATGGTGGTGCTGAGGGTGCGTTATGTTCACGGAAAGACTGTAAATAAAGAGTAACGAAAAATGAAATCATCATATTGCTTCTTCACAAAATCTTCGGTCTATTTAATGCTTCACATGGTAGCGTGAATGAACAAACAGCATGAAGGCCTCATTTGAATCATCATTGACTCTTCAGACCTCATTTGCATCTCTCTTTTTTCTTTTTTTTCCGATCACGTACCAGTGTCGGCGAAGATTGTTGGCAGAGCAAGAACGACTCTGTGCTGTGAGACACAGTAGGAGAAAACTCTTTGATTCTCACACATTGTCACGCACATGAACTAATGGCGAAATTGTCACGCATGGTAAGTAATGGCGCATTAGCACACACAAACTTGGGCCTCCTCACCATCTCTCCTTCTCAACCTCGTCATCTTCTCCTTCTCCTCCTCCTTCTCCTCGCCATCTTTCCTTCTTCTTCTTCTCCTCCTCCTCCTCGCCATCTTTCCTTCTTCTTCTTCTTCTCCTCCTCTTCTCCTCCTCCTCGCCATTTCTTCTTCTTCTTCTTCTCCTTCTCCTCTTCTCCTCTTCCTCCTCCTCGCCATCTTTCCTTCTTCTTCTTCTTCTTCTCCTCCTCCTCTTCTCCTCCTCCTCCTCCTCCTCTTCTCCTCCTCCTCTTCTTCTTCCTCTTCTTCTCCTCTTCTCCTCCTCCTCCTCCTCCTCCTCTTCTCCTCCTCCTCCTCCTCCTCTTCTCCTCCACTTCTTCTTCTTCTCCTCCCCCCCCTCTTCTTCTCCTCCTCCTCTTCTCCTCCTCCTCTTCTTCTTCCTCTTCTTCTCCTCTTCTCCTCCTCCACTTCTTCTTCTTCTCCTCCTTTCCAACTCCTCGTCGTGCAGTATTCGACGCGCGGCTGCCACGTCAGCACGCACTTTGTTTTTTTTTTTTCCTTCTTTTGTTCTTTTCGTCTTCTTCTTCTTCTGGTGGATCGCCCACCATCCTTCTCTCGTCAGCACACTTCCTCTGTATAAAGATGATATAGTGCAAGCCCCCCGGGGTGGATCTCGCTGTGCCTCACCCATATAGCCAAGCTATTCTCTTTGTTTTTCACTTAGCCGAAGCCTCGGTATTCTGTCACAGCAATGATGTACTTGGGATGCTGAACCTGGTTTCCAGAAGGTGAGGCTCCCCCCACCAACAGATTGGCGCAACCCTTGCTTGGTCTGCTAGAGGGGGGTGCTCTTACCACCCCCCCTTAGCAGCCTGCAGTTTCCCCCCCCCCCCAATAAGATACAGTCCAACTGTGTACTTTGCTATTTAAAAACAGAGGAGGACTTTGGACCTCTAAAGGGCTATATTCAATATTATTGTTAACACCTCCTGCTCGGGTTGATCTTCTGAAGGAGTTCACATGGGATAACAATGGATTGGTGGCTGATGAGTACAGAGCTGTGTCTGAGTAAGGCTTTCGCAAATTGAGAGAAAACGCAGCCTGGACTCCTTAGACCACCAGTGCATGGGGGCCTGACCCTTATCAATCAATCAATCAATCAATCAATCAATCAATCGATCGACGCCGATTGATTGATTGATTGATTGATTGATTGATTGATTGATTGATTGATTGATTGGTCGGGAGGAGGGGGTTCGCATGGCAGGGACTGACACCAGTTGTGTGTTTTGCAATGTGTGCATGGCGTTTGGCAGTGTGCAGTCGTGCTCCTGAAGTTTTCAACGGTGATGGTAAAAAACTTCATGAAGTTGTCAGCTTAGTGGGAACTATTGGGCCTGCTGATTCTTCGGATGTTCCGAGCCGTGTCCACGGAGTCATGGACTCACCATCTGCAGGTAATTCCGTTCCTGTGCAAGTTTTCGCAGGTGAGTGGTGTGGGAACTGACTACGGCCTGTTGTTGGCCTGCTTGGTTGCTGCTGCAGTGGGCGTTGTGACTCGCAACAAAGAGCCCGCACTCGCAAAGTCAGTTCCCAACTTCCCATCCACTGCGAATCCGACGCACCGCGATGGAGCCGTCCTCGCATGAGGGGTTCAGCTCATCTGACAATTCCGACATGTGTAACCCCAAACGCAAAGCTGCGTTAAAATCGCAGGACAAAAGCACCGGGACAGCAGGCTCATCTGCCAATACCAGTGATATGAAAAATTTGAAACTGGCAATTCACACAACACCCAAAAAAGGAGGACTCAACCCTCCATATATTATGAAAGACGAGCTTGGAGAACATTTCCGACGTTTGGAAATCGTTCGCCCATGTTTGTTTTCCTAATGGTGCCCCTGTGCGGGAACACTGCAGCGGATATGTAGCTTGTAGACAATGTCTCAGAGTGTATGCGTTCACTCCCTCGCACGGGACAAGCACCCTGCGACAGCATACGTGTCGCAAGGAACCGAAGGGGGCAGGCCTCATGCGCCTGTTTGCTACCTCTACCGAGCCCACAACAACTCAAAAGAAGAGGATGGCCAAAAAGGTTGCCATGTGGTGCTGCAAAGATTTGCGGCCGTTTACCGCGGCAGAGGACCAGGGTTTATTAGAGGTTGTGCAGGAGGCGTACGATATGGGCGTAGCAGTGGGTAAGTCCATGCACATGGGGAAGGTGATGCCTGTCCGCAACACGGTGAAACGTCATGTTGTTGAGACAGCATCCACTGTCCGTGAGAAGGTGAGAGAACTGGTGCAGGACCATTTCAATGACGGTGCGCACGCAGGCTTCACAGCGGACATGTGGACAGACGGCGTGAAAAAAAATTCGTTCATGTCTGTTACGATGCCCTTCATGAGTTTGGATGCAAAGAATCTGACAGGTGTGTTGTGTGTACAGACAGCAGCTCAAACATGCCCGCAACAGAAGGGATCCGAAAAATTTACAAGTGGATTGCCTGCGCAGACCATAAAATTGCGACGGTACTGACAACCGTCTTCAACAAAACTTCAACCACAACAGACGGAGTTCGCTCGTCGCCGTTCTACAAATATCACGAGTTTGCACCGCACTTGTTTGAAATGATCGACAACTCGAAAGACTTGGTTCGATATTTCAAACAAGCAAACTTGCAGAACAGTCTGAGCAAGACGTTGAAGCAAGAAAACGTGACGCAGTGGAACTCTTTACTGATTTCACTGAACAGTATTTTGGACAGTTATGATGAGGTTACAACTGTGCTCTCCAGGCTTGCCAACACTAATCGGCAAGCCAACAAACAGTTCCTCGTCACAAGGATCGACAAGACCTCGCTCGCAAATCTGGTGCGTTTCTTGAGACGATTCTAGACTGCCACACTGAAGTTGGAGCAGTACTTGGAGCCGACAATACACCTTGTGGCATTTGAGCGGAGTGCCCTTTTGGAGTATTGCAAACCTCGTAACGAGCCATACAACGGCGAGGATGCCGAGGGCAACAAGTTCACCATTCCATCCGACTCCGATGACATTGCAGCCACCAAGATGTTGATTAAGGATGTGCTGCGGGAGAAGTGGATATTGGAGGATCCTCACATTGCCGCAACTTTGCTTGATCTGCGGCAGAAGGAGAGGTTGGAATGTTTTGGTTTGTCGGAAGCCGAGGTTGAGTGAGGGAAGAGCTGTTTGCAAGAGTTCATGTACAATGTCAAGGACTCGAGCGTTGAGCCAAGCGAAGAACATGTTGCAGCGGAGGGAAAGCGGCCAACAAAGAGGAGGAAGAAAGCACCCTAGAAAGAGATCCCTGACGAGTTCACATTGTGCAGTACGGACGAAGACGAGGAGGAGGACCTGCCCATTGCTCGAACCAGGTCGTTGACGTTGCCGCAACGTATATAAAAGGAGCTGGCATTCTACTTCAGCTTGAAGTTGACAAAAGAAGAGAAACAAAAGTTCGACATACTTGTGTGGTGGAAGGCGAAGGGGACTGTCGTAAAAAATGAAGAGAACCAGTTGTTGATCCCGCCTTTACCGATCATGGCGCGTGCTGCTTGTGCGATTCTCGCATCGAGATCGAAGAGCGAATGCAATTTCTTCGATGCAGGGAACACCGTCACGAAGAAAAGAAATCAACTTAATCCGTACACTGTCGATGATGTCCTTTGTGTTCGCTCGAACTACGACGTGCTGTCGTGATGTGTGTTGTAGCTTTGCATTGTTTGCAGGCTTCCGTTCGCCTAACATAACTGGAATAGCTTTTGCAGGTGGCTATCTTCCGGACACTTGATGTGGGAGTTGTAGTTCTGCAGATTTACAAATTCGGTAAAAAATGACATTTTTTTTTAATTTTATTTTCTCGATTTTGTAAAAGACAAATTTTATTTCTTGCTTTCGATTGTTCCTCTAGTGCAATGGTGGATTTCATATTTTTTCTGTTAATCTTTTTTCTATTTTTCATATTTGTCTGAGTGTTGGTCGGAGTGTTCGTCTGAGTGCTGGTTTGAGTGCTGGTTTGTGTGCTGGTTTGAGTGTTGGTAGTGTTGGTCTGAGTGTCGGTCCGAATGCTGGTCTAAGTGCTGGTCTGAGTGCTGTTCCAAGTGCTGGTCGGGATGCTGGTCGGAGTGCGGGTCTGAGTGTTGGTAGTGTTGGTCTGAGTGCTGGTCTGAGTGTTGGCCTGAGTGCTGGTCTGAGTGCTTGTCGACGTGCAAGTGTGAGTGATGATCTGAGTGCTGGTCTGGATGGTGGGAAAAACCATCGGGCGAAACAAAAATTCGTTGAGCCTGGGCCCGGTAGACCAACAAAAATGGGGGTGTACCGCGTTATGTGCAAGGATCCCATAAAAAATATATATATCATTTGGACAAAAAATAAATAAATTGCAAATGTAAGGACCTGCCCAAACACGGACAAGAACATGTAGCTGATCTGTGAACTTTGCTGATGGAATGGATGCTTTGCTGAGAATCCCGCATGTTTGCTGAGTTTTCAGAGGTGATTGGGGACAGTTGGGGATAGTTACGAGAAGTGAGAGGTGATTGGGGACAATTACGGGCGGTTGGGGACAGTTAGGGGCGGTTAGGGATGGTTGGGGACAGTTAGGGGCGGTTAGGGATGGTTGGGGACAGTTAGGGGTGGGTACGGATGGTTGGGGACAGTTAGGGCTGGGTAGGGGTGGTTGGAGACAGTTAGGGGCAGTTAGGAGAGGGCGGGTCACAAGTGCAGATGGTTACAGGTGGGTGCATACAATTGTGGGTGGGTACAGGTGGGTAGGGTTGAAAAACAAATTGGTTGGGTAGGGTACAGGTGGTTAACACAAGGTTTGGGTACGGGTGGTTATGGGTACTTTTCAAAAAGAAAGTCCATGGACAGTTATGGGCAGTTACAGCGTGAAGGGGATCAAGTAGGGCAGGTATGGGCACACTTTTTTTTTTTTTGGGTGGGTATGCCATGTATACAGTGGGTATGGGTGGTTAGTTTTCTAAAAGGGTGTGGGTAGGTAAGGTAAAGGTATTCCAAAAAAGACCAGTTGCCACCTTTGCTGGGCCCCATCCCAGCAAGCCCTGCGGATGCGGAAGCAGGGTACATTTTCCATAAAGGAAAATGCGCCGCCCCTCCTCAGGGATATTCTGGCCTGGTTGGGTATTGCAGCCACTCTGCTGCATCATTGCGCGAGCGATTGCTTGGCGCTGGCTGGCCAGGGTGCACTCGGGCGCTGAGAGGTGAGAGGGGCGCTGGAGTGGCAGTGGGCGCACAACGACCATAGCCGGGCGTACGGGCGCATGCAGGTGATGGCGATGGTGGTCGTCAAGTAGGAGGCGAATGCTGTGGGAGGACAGGGGGTGATGAGGGGAGTAGAGAGACACGTACCTGGTGTATGCCAACTGTCTACATTAGCGACGTCGTCACGTACACTGGTTTTCAGCTTCGAAGCGAGAGAGAGTCGATAAAATGGGTCCTTATGGCCCTGGCCTCATTGCCATTCTAGGGAGGATCAGTCCGGCTCCTATTCCACCGGTAAGTGAGAATAAAATATTACATCGCGAAACACACTCAAGTTTCCTTCCGTCCGACCGAAGGATGACTCCAACATCGTGGAGGATTGACTATCAGCTTGCCGTACTTCCACCTTTCCTCTCAGGTCCACTGCATGAACCTGTTAGATAAATGATATAGAGCAAGAAAGGTAAAAGAAGCTACGGAAGATGCAATCCCGGAATTTGCCCTTCAATATTACGTGGCGTGCGATGGATCTTGTCCATCTACTGGCTGGGATCTCTTTCTTCTCGACCCTGCTTATGAGTTGTGCCAGTCTTTCCACCGTAAGGAAAAGTATTCTCTCTGCTACTTTGCCCCGTGCGAGCCACACCTTAGTGAATTTTCCTTGATTCTTCTTTGTTGCATCGTCTGCTTGAATCAAGGTCCTTGTCTTCTCCTTCCCTACACTTATAGAAATCGCTATTTGGCGCGAAACATTTCGTCGATGTGGGCCGCCCGCGGACTACTGGCCGACGGCCCAGATTTCCGCGCGATCTTAAGACTTCAAGACTTTAAGACTAAGATCGCGCGGCGATCCAGGCCGTTCGCGGTTGCACCTGCCCGACGGCCCAGATCGTCCTGCGATCTTAAAGTTTTAAGATCGCGGGCGAATCCGGGCCGTCGGGCCGTTTACGGCCAGGATTGCTGCGGTGCCTTGGGGAAATCGGTCCGAAAGTACAGCCCTACGCGACGCGACCTACCTACCCGACCTACCTACGCGACGCGACCTACCTACGCGACCTACCGACGCAACCTACGCGACCTACCTACTCGATGCGACCTACCTACTCGACGCGACCTACCTACGCAACCTACGCTACGCTGCGCGACCTACCTACACGACCTACCTACGCGACCTACCTACGTGACGCGGCCTACCTACGCAACCTAAGCTACGTGACCTACGCTACACGACGAGACCTACTCTACGCGTCCTCTCTCTCTCTCTCTCTCTCTCTCTCTTGGACTGTGCTTTTTGGTGCTCGGTGCTCATCGTGGATCCGTGCTTTTCTCTCTCTCTCTCTCTCTCTCTCTCTCTCTCTCTCTCTCTCTCTCTCTC